CTCCGACGGAGTGGGTTACACCTCACAGACTTGCAGAGGACACAGTTGAAGAGTGGCAACACGAACAGGTCCTTTGTGCTGAAGGCTTGGTTTTCAGTACAGATGCTTCCGGGGGCCCGTATAGCGTTGACCCCAGACTAACAATAGTCACTTTTGCAGTTGCTGCCTTTAAGTGGGTTTCGGGTGAGCCTGTTTTGGTTGGTTCCATTACAGGAGTTCTACCGCATGGATCTTCGACTGTTGAGGGTGAGGCTAGGGCGCTAAAACTCCTGAACTCCAGAACCACTGGTGATGTCGATGTGACTGTTGACTGCAAACCAGCCATTAAACAAGTGAGTAAAACTCTAGATACCCGTGTTTCTTGTGTGTGGGTGAGATCCCACTTGAACAGCGCTGCTTTCAGCAAGGAATTCGGAGCTGACCAGCTCTGGCGAAGACAAGTCAATGTTGTTGCTGATGACTTATGTGGCAAGCGAGCTGAGCGTCTTGTTGACCCTGCCTTTGTAAAAAAAAGTGCGTGAGATAGATAAGCTGGTGTCTTCGATATCAGTCTTTTTGGCCGAAAGAGCTGAGTTTATCCTGTTCCCTGATAAGCAGGATCCGCCGCCAATGCACTTTGTGGAACGAAGAAAATCAAAGGCTTCAGGTTCGGTTGTTTCCCCTAGTCCGGCCTTTAATAAGTCCAGAGGGTGTGCTCGATTGGCTGTTAGGTGTAAAACCTCTAGTCCTGTCGAAAAGGTTCCCCCTAAAGCCAACAAACGCCAACGTCTTCAGGAGCTCTTGGCTCGCCCAGAGCTTGGCAATGGCCACATCTGGAAGGCCAAGACTGTGGCGGCCTCCACTGCGGCTGTTAACATGTCAGTATCTTGTGAGCGTTGTAACTTGTACATCGAGCAAATCCATTGCCCAAAGATTTTTGACAGGAAAATTTCTCGCCCGTGCACTGGGATCCCAGCCCCGCTCCCTAGCGACTGGGAAATCCACAAGATGCACACCATGCTGAACAAGGGCTCCTTTTGGGCCTGCGAGTCCTGTTTAGCCATGGTAAAAATCGCTGCAGCGAAAACGTCACAAGTTTTGAAAGATCCTTGCAAAGGCCTTTCAAGGAAAAAAGTGTCTAAGAAAGCTCTTCAGCAGGCGCCTCCCTCGGATGGGAAATCCAAGCAGAAACTCTTCACTGTCAAAGAGAGAGTAAACTGCCAGCAGGACAGAAGTGAACCAGCCGTGCCTGGCCCCAGTAGTGCGCCTCATCCTGCTGGTAATTTTCTCTTGTCGCTTTCTCCTGCGCCCAAACCGAAGCCGAAACCTAAACCCAATCCTGCCGATTCTAAAAGCCGCCAGACAAAGCTGTCTTTCGCAAGGCCAGTGGACAAGCAGGCTTAGGTTTCTTTCGTGGTTTAGAGGTGTTTTCTTGGCTGGCTCTGGCGCCTGGCGTTCCTGTGTGTACAAGAGGCTTTTCCCTTGTCTGCAAGAAGTGGGCCTGCATGCCCGTTGAATTCGTGGCACACTTCTTCACAAACCTGGCAGACACAGCGTGTGGGAGGCGTACCCTTTCCGGTGCGAGGCTGGGCCCCCGGATAGCGCGAACCTCCTGTGGATCGCTACTTCAAGCCTGTCAGCCCTAGCGTGTGGGAGGCGTCCCCTTTCCGGAGCGTGGCTTGGCCCCCGGATAGCGTGAACCTCCTGTGGATCGCTTTGCGTAGACTGCTGATACTAGGTTGTTAAGTCATGCACCTGGGCCTTGGTGGCAGCTGGTGGTGACTGCAGTCTGCCATGGGCCGCTGGCAGCTTGGAGACTGGCTGTAGGTTGTAGGTTGTATAGTTTTCTGGCCTTTGGCCGTGACGCCTGTTCCGCTCACGAAGGAAGAGGGGCCAGCTGAAACCGCACTAGACATGCGAAGTCCGCGACACCCTTGCACCACAAGCGTCCCAACGAGAGTCTCCTGGTCAGAAAGCTAAACCCTACAAGGCCCAAACCCCTACGTACGCCATCATCAACCTTAAACCCAACAACTCGACAATTTCGCATCGTATCTGTCTCATGCATGAAGCGGTGCAAGCAAGATCGCGAAATGTTGCCGATTGTGCACATGCAACCGTGCATGTCCGGGGCTCGCATAGCCCTAAATCTTGAGAATGGCCATGTGTTGCAACATTTGTTGGAAGACAAACTTTGCAACAGCGTAAGATACTTCAAAACCGGTAACCTGAAAACACACAGCATTGCGCCCATGACAAAAATATCCAAAACCATCAACCTTCTGACCTTGCCACAGAGTTGGCTGCCAGCACTATGATACCAGAATGCCCAAAATCAGCTGTCACCACCATAGGGCAAAAAGGCCTGAACCCTGAAGCCTTAAGCCCGAAATCTTGAGAATGGCCATGCGCTGCAACATTTGTTGGAAGAGAAAATTTGCATCGGCATGTGATACTTAAAAAACTGGTAACCTGAAAACACAAAGCATTGTGCACATGGCAGAACATCCAAAACCGTCAACTTTCCTGCCCCTGCCACAAAGTCGGCTGCCAGCACTATGATACCAGAATACCCAAACCCAGAGGCTTTAAGACCTTACGCCCCAAACCCTAAAGCCTTAAGCCTCAAGCCCTAAAACCTTACGCCCCAAACCCCAACCCTGAAGCCCCAAATCTTGTGCCTCTGACACAAAGTTTGCTGTCACCACAAACTCAACGGATTTCATGACCTTAAGCCCCAAACCCTAAAGCTTTAAGCCCAAAACCCCTAAAGCCTCAAACCTTGTGTCCCTGGCACAAAGTTTGCTGTCACCACCATGAACCAAAAAATCCTGAACCCTGGACTCTTAAGCCCTAGATCTTGAGAGTGGCCATGTATTGCAACATTTGTTGAAAGATAAAGTTTGCGACGGCATTTCACACCTCAAGATCTGGTCACCTGAAAACACAAAGCACTGTGCCCATGGAACATCCAAAACCATCAACTTTTTTGCCTCTGCCACAAAGTTGGCTGCCAGCACTAAGGGCCGGAAGACAACTTTGCAACAGCATGTGATACCTCAAGATGCGGCCATGGCAAAAAAAACAACCAAAACCATCAACTTTTCTGCCCCTGCCACAAAACTGGCTGCCAGCACCACACCACAATGTCCAAGCCCTAAAGCCTTAAGCCCCAAACCCTAAAGCCTCAAGCCTTAGAATCTCAAGTCCCAAACCCCAACCCGAAAGCTTCAAACCTTGTGTTCTTGGGTCAAAGCCTGTTGCCACCGTGTGTCAAGAAGACCTGAACCCAGAAGGCTCAGCCCGACATCTGGAGAAAGGCCATGCGTTGTTGCCACGTTTGTTGGAAGTTAAAATTTGCAACAGTATTTGATACCCATGGCAAAAATCCCAAACAATCAACTTTTCTTTGCAACCCTTAAGCCCCAATCCTGAAGCTTTCAACTCAAAACCTCAAAGCCTTCAGTCCAGAACCCCCCAACCCGAAAGCCTCAAATCTTGTGTCCTTGGCACAAAGTCTCTACGTCCATGTGTAGTGCACAGGTTGGTCTCTGAGATCCTTCGAATAAAAAAAAACTTTGATGCTTCACAAACAAGTTAGTTGTTTGGCCTGGAACGTGTGGATGTCGAAATTGTATCGCAGGCAACAGATCGAAGCCAATCAGAGCTACGAAAAACAATGGCACATTTTTCAGCTTTGTGTCTTCGGTCGAGATGATTTACTAGCAGTACATCTGTTGTCTGGTGTGTTTAATCCGACAAAGCATTTCGGTTTTTACGTCTTTATCAAGAGAAAGTAACTCGAACCTTGTTTTCGACCCTCATTTTGACTCTGACAGATTTGACGGGCCCATGTTCAAGGAAAACCCTTCGAAAACGTGCACACCACAACGTGTCTGCGGCAGATTTTACTTCCTGTTCAGTGACAAGAACACATTTTTGTAATTTTTGGTTGTACTCTGTGTGTCTTACAGGTTGTCAGTTTTGAAGTTTTTTTAACTTAAGGTTTCAGGTTTCAGATGGCTGATGAGAAGTCCCTCCATGATCCTGGAACCCAATTTGAGCGTCCTATCTCGGAATTACCACATCTCTGTTGTCTGTAATAGGGACCTTACAGGCCCGGGCAATTCGAAGACCAAGGGAACAGCTTGACCACAAGCCCTACTTCTTTCCGAAATCACTTTGTCCAGGTTGAATCATGTAGCGGATCCAAAGTAAATCGTCCGACCCGGTCTTTCACACAAAGACCCTACCGGCACAGTCTCACACTTCCGCGCAGGTTACGTGCTTCAAACTAATCTAGACAGAAGGTTTTCCATGTTTGTTCGGCAGCTACCAAGACTCAACTTTGTCTTTTGGATCAAAATCAGACGGCTAGCTTTTCTCACTACTGGAAATCCCCGCTGGTTTTTGTTATTGCCGTTGTAACTTTCCCAAACTTGCTTTGCTCTCGATTTATAGGCCGGTTTTCTCGCACCACGTGCAATTGAAAAGAAGTTGTTTCTTGTTGTTGTTGTTGTTTTTGTTGTGATGTGTTGTAGTTTTGACAAATTTTGCTCATTTGCATGCACCACATGACATACCGGTGTCGCAAGTCCAAACCGACACCAACCGCAATGTTGCAATGCTTTGTGATGCTAGGTTCATAACTCTTGTTTTGACCACCAAAAGGTCTGGCAGAAGCGATTCTGAAGCAATGATTGGGTATTTATCATGTGCAAGGCCGAAGATTGCCAATGCAGAGCAAAACACCTTTACACATTGCGCAGCCTGGGTTCACATGTCTCAAGGCCGCATAAGTACATCAGGCTTTGGCGGTGGTGGTTCGGCACTGAAGCAGCGCATTGACATGTACATAGAAGAACAGCTTGTGGCAGCAATCATTTACGAATCAAGGATCTCCGCACGACAGCAACAGAAAACATAGTGCGGACGCGATGCTTGACCCCTCCAGCGTCAGTTCCCGTCTTGGTGGTCACAAAGTATTGCCAAGCGTGATGACCATGGAGGGATTGCATGAGGTGCAGAACATGACAGCGACGCAGCAAGGGCCTTTGAGAACATGCGGGAACCGTACAACTGTGCAGCTTCCCTTGGCTTGAGAGTTTGACCATATTCGATACATCGTTTCATTCAAATTCACTGCCGAAATTAGTTTGGTAGGACTGGTAGGATGACATGTGATTTTTATGACGAATTGAGTTAGCGACGAATAGCCGGCTGCAGTGTTGGTGTCGGTTTGGTTTCGTACTTGTCGTCGAGGTTGCCGCAGATCATTACTTGAACGTTCTGGATGAGGACATTGGACCTGCGCCTTGTATTCGCATGACAGTTCGAGGAATGTGAGTTAATAGTCTGCCCGCAGCAGTTTCTCAGCGTTGTGCAGGAAGAAGTGAAGGGCTTTTGGGAGCAAGCCGGAGTTCGTGGTGGGACCGCACCCGGCATCGCAGACTCAGCACGTCATCAACGGTGTTGATGGTGTTTGAGCTCACCGCCAGCAGGAAGGATGATCCGTGTTTCGATATCGATTGGGATGCAGCCGGGAAGGTTGGGGGTTTGCAATGCTCCAACGATGCTTTGCATCATCCGCTGTTTCAGCTCACGCCACAGGAAGTGGTGACTCATCCGAAGGTCAAGGAGCTGTGCGAAGCTGCCGGGGCCAGAGGCCTTCTCATCCAATCCTTGCAGGCTGTGCAGGATCGAGGTCTGAAGCACTTGTTCTTGAACATGTTGACCCTTCGGCTTAGCCAGGTGGCCCCAGAGCAGCGGTGGCCATACGCCAGAAGGCCGCAGCACTGGCGAGTGAGCTTGCAGCATCGGTGGAGATGAGGCCATTAGCAGTAGCATCTGTCGGCACGCAGCTAAGCACTGCAACTTCCAACTGGCTATTTTGTTGAAGATCGCATCTCACCGCACCGCCAGGTTCGCACATTTTACATCCGCATTGGCACGATTTGGCTTCCAGCGGCTGTATTCTGGAGTGCTTCGTCGCAGAGAATCCATTCTGGTTAAAGTCAGTTTAGAACAGAACAGATCAGACGTTTGATGTGCTGGCGAACCGGTCAGCGATTTCTGAGTTGATCTTCGAGCGTGAGCAGCTGCTTTCCCTGGCCCGGCTCAGTGTACGTGCACGTGAAGAAGGCCGAAGCATTGTCTACTTGCCGAGCGGCTTGGACGCTTTGACGTTGCAGAAGTTGCAGAAAATACAAACCATTGCTGTTGCTGGAAGGGTCGTTTGCTGCAACTCAGGCCACAAGAGCCATATAGACTACATCGTGCTGCAGTGTCCTGGTCCACTCGTATTTACCATTTCTGATTTTTCTTGAAAGTGTTGCAGTAGGTTGCCCATGGCCGAGCAAGACATGGCGTTGTAGGGTGGACCTGAGTATATGATCACAAGGTTGCAATAGTAGCCCAGTGCACTTCAGGTTTTCCCTCTGGAACCTTGGGCTGGGAGCACCAGCCATCGCTGCCGGAGAGAACTTGAATCTGCCTGTCGTCGGTGGGCGGGTGCCTCATGCTTTTCGTTTGCTTCGGGCCTCCCTCGTCCTAACCATCGCAGCATCTCAACAGTGAAAGCCTTGCCTTGTTCCTGATGAAAGATCCGCTGGATAAGGCTGTTACGTCGCGCACCCAGTCGCTGCAGTGAGAGCATGTGCAGTAGCATGGCGGCGAACGTCTCGAAGCGTCGGAGGCCGCAATGGAGCTTTTTACATCCGAAGGACTTTGAACTTTCCTGGCATTTGATACACTTTCAAACCGCAGACTGGACAGCAGGAGTTTTTCAGGCCCCGACAGCGAGCTCTATACAGCAGTGGTTTCTGCGTCGCCTGACTGCGACCAGAGTCTTCTTTTCTGACTTGGTTCCGTAGGCCCTAGACTCCTGGAAGAGGCTCCGCTGTCCGCACACCATGTGCAAACTTACAGGCCACGCAACGCAACGCAGGATTGCAGGTCGCCGCGCACACCTGCAAACATGCCCGCGCCGCAGCAGCAGCAGCAGCAGCAGCAGCAGCAGTAGTAGTGCCAGCTAGTAGCAGCATATACTCAACAAAGCCGCATCGAAACTCTTACCATTGCCATGAACCTGACGCCACGACCACCACCGATCGGCTGCCAGCACACACCGACAAATCATCATTGGCAAACGACGACGAAGCACAGAGTGCTGTACCACCACATGACAAAGTCTCCGCCCTCAGACACTTGTCAATGCTTTTCGGGGGACTTGTGTGGAAGTACCTTGAATGAAGACGGGATGTGTTGAGTCGTGTCGTCCTGCTGTGCTGGAGTTCGGTCTAGCATTCCGGGATGTTGGCGCAGCCCAGTCGAGGTACATCGAAGGACTGCTACGTCGTGGCGCGAATGTCAAATTCTTTACGGAGGGTGGGCGCAGCCGAAGCGGGAAATTGAGTCTTGTTTTCAAAGGTCCTTGCTGTTGGATACACTTCCACAAAAAGTGTGCGCATGGCTGCTTGCCCAGGTTGCAGCCAAAGATCGGCCTTCTCGGCATGGTGTTGGACCCTGTCTTGAACGGGGTTGTGGAGGACGCCTACATCGTGCCGGTTTCGATCTATTACGATGGAGCCCGCCGGATGCAAGCGCAAGGGCTGCCTCATGAACTTCCTACCAGTCCGTCGTGTTCATGTCCTGTCAAGGTAATGGAGACGGAGAGTTACGTCAGAGAGCTCTTGGGTTCGAAGAAGCGGAAGGAAGCCCATCCTGCAATTAGGATACGGTCAGTGGCTTCATCCATCCTTCGAGCCAATGTGTCTCAAGCCAAAATGCGTTTTTTTGCTGTACCTCGTTCTGTCCGGATGATCTGATGGCGATTAAAGGAACCAGGTCGCCAGAATGAGCAGTCTTATGTTCCATTAACTTGGCTGAAGGTCAATGTCGGGGGAAGTTTTCTGCCGAGGTTTGTTGTATGATCGAAAGGTACTGTCTCATAAGGCCTGAAGACTCCGAAGAGTGTTTTATATGTCCGCGTGAGTTGGTGGAACGCTTCCACGAACAGAAGTGCAAGTAAACCGACTCTAGTCATTGTTTTAGGCAGCAGCACAATTTCCTGTGCAGTAGCAAGCTCAACAGATGTCAGCTCCAATCCGACGACCAGACGCGGACTTCAGAAATCCAATTGCACCATCAATGTTCCACCAAGCTTGCTAATGGGTCTTGATTCGTTTGTTTTCTTGCGCTAAGCACCAAGTTCAGTGAATTTCTTAAGCCTACAACGGTGGCCCAGACAAGCATGTCTGCAAAGGATGTATGATAGTGCGCATGATGTTCTGCGTAGATCTGTGAAGGAGAGTCTGATTGGAGTTCTTGGACAAGGAAAGCATCTGCTGGCCATGCGACGTTCTCGGTTCGGATCTTCGGCAGCAAAGACATAGACTGGGCCGAGAGCCCGAGAGATCCTGTTGACTCAGGAAACATCCACGTGAGATTCGGACCGGGGTTCAGTGCCAGAAGTTTCCTGGCATGACATTCTCCTTTTGGGGTGCATCATGAGAGCACATGGTACATTCTGGAAGTTGTAGTCACTGTAGGCTACATTGACAACCACATCGCCGTGCAACGAGCTGTACCGAACAGGGCGAATTTCAATCCGGTCAACACCATGGCCGACAAGCAAGTGCTCCTGAAGGTTCGGTCGCCTCCGGCAAAGACTCGTGGAAGGACTGTATTTGCTGTTGCTGCGCCCTTTGTGAGAGGCTTTGGCATATCACGTTCTCGAAGAGATCAATCGGGTCTCGAGTGTGACCCCGACCGCCCTGGTGTTGACCTTACATCAAGAACAAAACAGTCAGTCTGAACATGCGACCTTTGTAGGGTGATCTTCAGTTCGCCAGATTTGCAGGTTGGCACAGTGCTTCTGTGTACTTTGGGCCGTGGCATCGGTCGGCGGGCGCTGATCAACAAGGTTGACTGGCTGCGGGGAGAGGCGCGGACAAACTCGACAAGGGATGTACCGCGTTAGTTCTTCATTGCTTCGTCACAAGGCTTACTGGGTCGTGCCGATTCGTTCATACTGCTCGCTGCTGAGCATAGATTCGGAAGATCTCTGCTCTCGCAAGACAAATCGTGTCGCCAAAAGGTGAGTGAGTGCCGGAGTCAGGATGTTGCATTTCCAAGGGTAATATAGTGAATGGTTCAGTATGTTCAGTAGTACTACCGCTGCCGCCTTCTGTGTCCGCCCCCGGTTCTGTGCGCAATTATTGCGCCCTCTCATAGCTCATCGGAGAAAAACACGGAAAGAGACTCGTTTGAGATATGTGCGTGGGCGGCGCAGCAAGACTGCCGAGGCGACTGAGTAGGATCTGACTGGCACGGCCAAACATTGGGACCAGTGGTGCACAATAGATTTGCCTGAATCAGGACAAAAACCTACCTGGGCAACACAACAATAACAAACGACGAGGTGTTTATTTTGTTCGCTTTTCGTTTCTTGTGCGTGTGTGTGTGTGTGCAGCGTGCAGGGATAGCGTCGGAGGTTCAAGGCCTATAAAGTAATCCTCAGTAAGTTGGTTGGGGATAGGTTCACATCCGCATCGGGATTCAGCAATTCCAAGCTGCAGTTTTGGACAGTTTGTGAGCAGCCATCCCATCGGATCCGTTTTGTGATCAGGTTGTTCGCTCGGGTGGGCACATGCGGCTGAACTGCATCAATCCATAAGTCCTGTAAATTTGCGGTTTCGTGGTTGTTTAATCGGTTTCCGGCACATTCAGGGATGGTTTATCGAAGTGACAATCCCGTGGCATCGCACTGGTTGGCAGAGGTCGCGCTTCTATGATTTTCCTGGTGAGCCTTGGCGAAACAGTAGCAAGAGTCGACAAGCCGAGCTCGTGTCATTGCCAGGGTGTTTTTCCTGCCGGTCAGCCAAAGGAGGGATCCACTGTGCTGGCCGAGTAAGGTGGCATGCGTTGACGTGCAAGCACAGAGGGTACCGATTCTGCTGCTCTGCGCGAGTTCCACATAAAGTGTGGAGTGCACAACATGGTCAGGGTGTCCACGAAAAGGCACTTTCCAAGGCGGCAGAATGGTTAAGTTTCGCCTTGGGATTCCAGCTACGGTGGTGGCTTGTCCGACATGACTGTCTGATGCTAGCTCAATAATCTCGCATAGCGTCCACTCGAGAGCGAAACTGGCGACACCATCAGTGATGATCCATCGGACTTGCCGATGTTGCATCCAGGGTCGGATGGCTGTGCAAGTTGCGGACTGTGCAGGGACTCTGACATGTGGTGGTGTTGCGAAGGGTTCTCACTTTGCAGTACCTGGTGGGCCAAGTCAGGATAGTAGGTCAGTTGTGCTTGTAGCAAGCTTCCCAAAGCATCGCAGGAGAAGATTCACATTCTTTTCGGCGGTGCCTTGTGAGTCGTGTCAAACAAGTGAGCCTTCTTTTTGACAAAGGAGCTCACAGCTGAAGTGGTGGACTCTGCCTTAACGGTCCTGGGCAAGCTAGTGCAGACCTTCACAGGCGCTCTAGACTTGGAGATGAGCTCTAGTTTGCGATGAACTGCTGTTGCTTTTGCAGGTTTAGTGGAACCGGTCTACTGCATTGCACCGGGTATGCACTTCGAACTATCGTACTACAGGCCTGGTGTGCGAACTTTTGACGTCATACCATCGAGAAGGTAGGCGTGTGCCGCAATGAGTTGTGCAAAGCTGTACAGGAATATGTGTGTGCACGTGTTCATCCACCAAGCCATCGTAACTGCTGTTTTGCATCGAGCAGTGCAGATGTGGCTTGGCACACAAACCAGAGGGACGGCTCTGTGACTGCTCTCTGGACGGATTCCCGCAGCGAGCACGTGCCGATCTCTCTCGTTGTTTTGCCAAGGCATCAGCTGGATCAAGAGCAAGTCGAGCGGGCAGATGTCATGTCGGAGCTGTCTTTGTGAAATCTTTGCGTTTGATGTAGGTATCCGTGTACCGCAGCGACAGCAGTGCATTTTCCGGCGCAAACCATGCTCGCATGTAGGACGTCAGATTCCTTAGTCGCCTTCTGAAACGTGACCTGGCCACACAATGCTGAGAAATGCAACATGTAGTGGGTCGAGTTTTCCTGTTTACTTGCATTCGTCCGAGTCTGTGCAGTCTCATGTGTGTTTTTTCTAACGTCCAGCTTCTGAGGCGAATTCGTGTTCTCCGGCTCGGCCACTGCAAGTGGATCGCCACCGAAGCCAGCGTCTGGAGAGCAGTGGGGCCAAGACATTCCCCTGGCTACTTTGCGGCATGCAGCCCTAGCCTCTCTGACGTGTCGGGTGCCTAGTACGTATCTATTGCTGCGAGCTTTCGTCAGACATATCCTCGTCAGTGAGCCGTTAATTAATGAGTTGTTGTTTATGGACAGGTCCAGAGATGCTACCACTGGGACTAAAGGGAGAGTATACCGAGAAGAATGACCGATGATTTGACCATGTCAGTTTGACAATCTGGCATGAAAGCAACTTCTGAATTTTCCATGTGCGGAGCGCTCGAGAGCACAAAATGCATTGACGTGTTGCTTTTGTTCCAGATCCAAGCAAGGCCCTCATGAGGAACTTCGAATCTGCGCTGGAGCTATTGGTGGCAGAGGGCGTGGTCGACGTCTGCGAGACAGGCTCCAAAGGCGCTTGGTCAGTATGCTTGTGATGCGCTGAGTGATTGCTGTTGTGATGGTGCTATCGCCGACCCATGGTTCACATGTTCAATTCGATCGCTCATCCCACACGATGAACTCGACACATTTGCTTATCTAGATCATCCATGTGGGACGACACCCGGATTGTTGAAGAACACCGCAGCAGGTTTCAGAAGATTCCCTGGGGCAGAACTCGGATGATGGGTAGGAAGCTCGGAAGCCCCATCTCGTTGATCGTCCGGGTGCAGATGTGTGGATTGCACAAGGATGCAAGTTTTGTGGAGCTTGCTTGCGGTGGTCTGGCATGTTTTTCTTGCTCCTGATACTGTACAGCGGAATTATTGGCCGGTTCCTACTCAAATGCCCTCTGATTTGCTACACCTCTCCATCTACGGGAAAGAGCTGTGATGTTTCACGAGTTCTCGGGGGACGCGGCATAGGTTCGGAGGGCTAGCGCCTTGATCATGACATTTACATAGTGGGGTATGGGCGGGGAAAGTGGCTAAGTTGTAGAGGCTAAGCTGCAATCATGCCCTCCGCGGGTCATTGTAGGGGCTTGAATGGACTGGGCATTGCGCTCGCACCACAGGGCAAGATAGTTCAGGCTGGCCTCTTGCATTTTCGAGACGGGTGCCTACTAGTCACACACATCATGATCTCTGATAGACTTAAAGCGCTTGGAGCCGCAGTCGTAATCGAAATACTGCATGGAGGACCCAGGGCACATCTGCAAACTCCCGCAAACCGTTGCGCGACCTATCAAGTGCTGTATGCCTGCAGGCATCCAGACAAGCAGCACTTTGGATGATGAATGCTTTAATGGATCGGTGTGGTTCAACAAGTGCAGGCTTTGCTCTTATAAGGCTAACCCTGCCCAAGGCACTGTTGATATAGGTTGCGATGATGTCGTCACGAACTCGGACTCCAGACAGAGACCGAATGGGATGCCGGTTTGATACCTGCTGCTATGATGGAAACTCCCCTTTTTCTCGAGGCCCTCGTTGGATGCAGTCCTGCTTCGATGCTTTTGGCGGTTTCCAAAAGTGTCTTCGGTGTGTTTCGGTAGTAAGCGATGCCAGTATTTCCATGAGTAGTTGAGCTGGGATGTGTCCGATGCCTTGCCCATGCTGGTGCGTCCTGTCAACACGTTCCTCCCGAAAAGGCTCTGATTGCCATTGGTTTGATTTTAGCTATTCAAACTTATTCTATCCGTAGGCATTCCATTGGTCGTGTTCGAACCATCTGCGACTTCCGGCAGAAACCGTCATCCAGTGAAGATTTGGCGGGCATGCAGAGATGCCGTCGATGCACTTGTCACATCCTGTTACTGCAACATTTGATGCCAAATGTGCACTGTTCTGTTCCGAGCATGGCTCTCTGGTGGTATTCTTTTTATCGAGGCTTGCCCCTGTTTTCGCGTCACCACGGTGCAGCATTCAATCTTTGCCTGTGCCATCTCTGCCTCAGGTGGGGCGATCTCCTTGAAGCAATACCGCAGCGCGCAGGCGTGCTTTGGGGAAGCCGCATGAGCGACAAAGGGAGGAACTCAAAAACGAGTTGTTTTTGGCCAGTGGAAGACTCAATTTATTCAGTGGACAGACAGCCCATTGGGATTGGTTTTGGACTACTAAGTAGACTACGTAAGGCTACGCAACGAAATCTCTTAGGCAGGATTGAGCTCGACCCCTTTGCATCCGCACGCCAGCCAGGGAAACAGCTTCTAAATACCGGTGGGTGTGGTTCTTGATGACAGCAATGTGCTGCATATGCAGGAAATGGGCGGTTATGACCATTGGAACAAGCACTTCACGTTTCTTTGTTCCATGATTTGGCCTTTAATTGCGACTTGGCAGCTTGATGGCCTTTCTCGTGTTTGCATCATTGGGTATTGACTGAATGCATCCAAGGAATCTTACTGGCTGGTTCTTGCGACTCGGTCCGACATTCAGTGCTGTGTGGCTGACAGCACCTCAAGGTCGATGACGCCGCCGTGAAGTTGGCGAGAAGTTGTTAGCTCCAGACCACTGCCACAGCATGCAGTTCCGTGTTGTAGTCCATTTAACGCCGGCTCAAGGGACACACTGTCTGTAGATGTTGCAGCTAGTATCAGCACTGGAAGTCGGTAGTGGCTGTCAACCATTCTGCTACAACCTGCTAGCGGCTAGCGTCCCACTGCTCGGTTTTGGAGCTCGACAAAACTTCACTTTGCCGTTTTGGCGACTGCAAACTAGCGGCCGCATCATGAGGGCATGATTCTCGTGTCGTTGTCGGGCGAGTTGCGGTTGCAATTGGGCAGTAGTGAGAACGTGACCTGGGTCGAATGGCGTGGCCTGGCATGTGCACCTTTCTAGCACAAGACTGTAAGATGCATGCGTTGAATCTGTCTGTCGCCACTTGGTCGAATCTTGGGTCAACTAGACCTCGCAGACTGTGGGCTTCCCAAGTCTCCATAATCCAAACTAAAGCTTCTCGAAACGCAAGACCTGTACTGAAAAATGCAATTTTTTTCAGGGCGACGGTGCGTCAGACGTTTGCGTCGAATGTTTGGCCATGCTTGGGTCTGTCCATGTCTGTCCGTGCCCGGCATTCGAGGCTTCACTTCTTTATATCTTTCGCAACGGCATTGTCATCATCGGGGAAAAGCCAGCAGTTGCCCACATGCAGAGCTTTGCCAAGACGCTTGTTCATATGGGCCATGTCCAGTACAACGAGGACTGCCACAGCTTCTGAATTATTGCGCAAACTGCTTTAAATTTCTTTTGTTGCAGGCTGCATCAGAGGAGCCCCTGCGAAAAGCCCTGCAGACTTACAGCGAGTTGGGGATCGTCAGATGGGCGAGACGGACTGGTAACCAAGGCGAGCCGCAGCTGAGTCAGCTAACTCTCTGCTTCGTGCGATGCAAAAGCATCTGACGCAGAAGCTCAGTATCCAAGGAACCAGTCGTGGCACTGGAACTCGAGCCAGAATATAGAGGCCTGGGCGGGTGCAGGAAGTTTCTTTGGACCGTGAGGATACGCTGTCGAGTCTGAAGTTCAATTGCCGTCACGGGATTTCCCACCGTTGCAGCTTCAGCAGTGCAAATGAAAGATCGCCAGCGTAAGCAACAATGTGGGCATCAAGGAGTCAGGGTTGTGTTATCGACCCATGTAGCCGCCAAGCAGAAACGACGAAGGGATTGAGCTGGGCGCATCTAGCATCGTTGCCTTGCACGAACAGTTTTACATTCTGCCTAGGACTAAGACATACCGATACTTTCCGGTTTAACACGAGAGACAGTTTTTCTGAACGTTCACCACAGGCCCGGTGCAGTATCAGCTTATGGAATACTGTCCGACTTAAGCTCTGGTGGTGCTTCGGTTGCAAAGGCGTTCCAGGCCGGCAAACACTGGGTATTGACACGCAACCCACCGCGACAGGGGCTTGCCCTATTCCCCAAACAGTGCTTGCACTAGGGGGTTCTTACGTTCGGAGTGAAGGGAATTAGTTGCGGGCCGCAACGTCGCACGCGGCGGTGGGGCGCGACCTTCGTTTCGACGCTCCCACTATGGTTTCGCGCGAATTCCCTTGCGTTTCGACGCTCCCGCTGTGGTTGGCGCGAATTCCCTTCCGTTTCGACGCTCCCGCTGTGGTTTCGCGCGAATTCCGGCCTCCTGTGGCCTGCTCTGGCTTCTTTTGGCCTCTTCTGGGGGCCCGCTTAGGTTGCGGGCCGCAACGGCGTACGCGGTGGGGCGTGACCTTCGTTTTGACGCTCCCGCTGTGGTTTCGCGCAAATTCCCTGGCGTTTGGACGCTCCCGCTGTGGTTTCGCGCGAATTCCGGCCTCCTCTGGCCTGTTCTGGCCTCTTCTGGGGGCCCGCTTAGGTTGCGGGCCGCAACGGCGCACGCGGTGGGGCGCGACCTTTGTTTCGACGCTCCCGCTGTGGTTTCGCGTGAATTTTCCTTACGTTTCGACGCTCTGGCCTCTTCTGCGGGGGCCGCATAGGTTGCAGGCCGCAACGGGCACGCGGTGGGGCGCGACTCTCGTTTCGACGCTCCCGCTGTGGTTTCGCGTGAATTTTCCTTACGTTTGGACGCTCCCGCTGTGGTTTCGCGTGAATTCCCTTCCGTTTGGACGCTCTTGCTGTGGTTTCGCGCGAATTCCGGCCTCCGCTGGCCTGCTCTGGCCTCTTCTGGGGGGCCGCTTAGGTTGCGGGCTGCAAGGGCGCACGCGGTGGGGCGCGACCTTCGTTTCGACGCTTCCGCTGTGGTTTCTTGCGAATTGCCAACCCTCTGAGCCTTGAGCCCTAGACCATCCTAGACCCTAAACCCTGCGAGCCCTAATTTGCGCGAATTCCTTTCTGGCCTCCTTTGGCCGCTTCTGGCCCTCCTCACTGTTTGGGGTCTACGCCGGCATAATTTTGCTAAAAGTGCTAACACTATCAACCGCACAGGTACAGAAGACGACAAGTTCAGACGGCTGGTTGAATTGGCTGACGAAGTGGCCTCATACCGTCGTTGTTGGCGAGAGCAGGTGCATGCCCATCCCGAACCCTTGTAGCTAGTGCACTAGTGCATAGTGAAGTGATGAAGTGCATGCATGGAACATGTGCAATGCCTGCCAAATGACCAGGAAGGTCCTGAAGAATATCCGGACTACATTGCCCGGCTGGCCTTCGGCGTTTCCAGATTGTAAAAATCTTTCTCGAATTATCCAATGCATCAATTATTTTGTACCGTTCCGCGCAGGGCTTAGCGCAAAGCGCTAAGGCACGCCAGCTGCTTCATACGTTTCATAGCAATTACTAGAAACGCGCCATTTCGAAACAGACAGAGACCGAGACATTCATTGAATTCCAAAAAAGACATGAGGAGCTTTGAGAATGTCTTTCGTAATGGCGTGCCAGATCTCGTCCCAGGTTGCAAAGCCATGTCTTAGGATGCAGAGACGAGACAGTTTGGGACGGTAGTGCTCAGAGCCATCCATGCAGTTTTGCAACAACTTTACCTTCTCGTCATGTCTACTTGCCTGCCTGCGCACGCTGAACACGCATTTGTGAATTTCTGACTTGGAGAACGTCCCTTTCCTTGGCTTCCAGCTGGGAGGGTGGCCTCCCATTTTTCCCCCGTATTGTATTGTCCCTGCACGAGTGGTGCATTTGATGGCGACCAGGCGGCTTCTGACTTGGACCTTGATGGAGTCTTGAGAACGGCTTCATGCAATGATGTGTGTGCAGAGGGCATGTGGGAGCAGAGCGAACGGTTTGGCTGTTCGTGGGCTGTAAGTTCTGACGGAGTAGATGAAGGTCCAGGTAACGAACGTTCAGAAATCTGATGCCTCCATGCAGGCAGACTCGTCTGCTGTTACTTCCAGCTTGCCTGGCTGCGGTGTTTTACTCGGGACCTATCTTCACCAGCTGAGCTGCAAATCATACGTTTGCATGAGGCCATTTGTCTGCCTGCCGTGTCCTTCGTTAGCAGTGGGGCCAAACTGAGGCATGGCTCGGTTAAACTGTTTTATTTCGCTTTCGTGGTCCACATTTGAATCACACTGCTTTGTCAGCAGTGCCATTTCGGCGTTGATCTCTGCGGCAGGCTTCCAGATGTACGGCATGCTGCAGAGCTCCAATCTCGGAAGCGAAGGCCAACAAGACAGCTGTTAGACGATTCGGTGCCATTGCCTGAGGCCACAGCGTGCTGCTGCCGGTGCTACCTTTGGCAAGAAGCCTACGAAGTTTGGATGAGTTCTTATGGCTGGAATCAATGTGATGCCCTAGTGCGAGACCATGTGCGCGGCAGAAGGTTCTTCGACCTTCTCCACTGCTGTTTTCACGGCTGCAGCACAGAAGCTCAGGAATGATGAGTTCAGTCACAGATTTCTGGTTCATGGCTGTGCATCAAGCTGGACTGAGGCAATGACAGCGTTTGCAGGTTTGCTGCGATCCAGAGTTACCAGGCGGAGTGCAAACAAGACGACTTGGAAGCAAATCCAGTCGGCACTCTTTGAGGAGTTTGCCAGATGAGTGGCAGTCCAAGATTGAATTTTGAACTCGCTGCACGCAGTTTCGGGGGAGGCATGGTAAAATCTGGGGCTGGCGTGATGACGTCAAGAAGATGTCCGAGAACTGGCATCCCTGACATGTCATCTTCTGTTTTCGCTTTTATGCGCTCAGCCATGTGGCAGGGAAGAAGGACAACAGGAGAGAGAGCCATACAGAAATTACATCTATGGTCAGCGCGGCCAGAGCCTGAAGTGCTGCCTTGCCAAATATCGCACTCTGGTTGCGAGGCACGAGAGACATGAAAGCTGTCCTCGCGCTGTTTGCGAGTTGTAGTCAGCGTGGTTGATTTGTACACAGTGGACGTCCACTTAGGTTTCAAAGAATGCGAGATCGATCCAAGGACCCGGCAACAGGTCGGCAACCGCGGGAGAAGCAATAAGTGCTTACCCTTGCCTTGTTCAGATTGACAGAATGATGCATTACTTTTCGCAGAGCGGTGAAGTGTTCTGAGAGTCAAAAATGCAAGTTTTCCTTCAATGCATTCAAACGGAAGTTCGTGCACAGGCTCCAGCACGCATGGCTCTGGGCCGTGTCACGGAGGTCGGTCCGGCATTTCGGCATTCCGCTGCTCTGGAGAGAACCCAGAACGCTGGAACAGGCCCTTGCCGCTTTCGAGACCCAGGCTGCTGCTCTAGTTGTCGATATTGAGCGTTGCTTCGGTCATCGTGGTTGCTGAGGTTTGCTAAACTCAGCAAACTAAACCCGGAAACCCGAAATCCAACAGGTTTATCCAACGTGGCTTTCCTGACGTTGAATTGGCTAAAAGCCGGAAGCTTTGAAACCTAAATGCTAAGCCCAGGATCTCAAGTCTGGTTGGCTCCTTGTTGGTGGTGTTTGTCTTGCTTAGGAGTCTAAATGAAATCTCCGCCGCAAAGACTCTGAACGCTTTACAGATTGTCACCGCACCTCACTATCTACGGTTTGAGGTTTCTGCACTATGTACCAATAGAGCAGCTCGATAGAAGCATTGCTCAGCCACGCTACAACGCCACAGCATCGCGAATCCGCCTTTCAGCGCACGAGCCAAGTCTCATGTCATGCAACGGTCAGCTTGTGGCCTTTACTTGTAGGGCGCAGATTCGCAAAGAACAAAGTGGATGAAGGTTGTGAAAAACCAATTACCTTCTTCCCATTGGGTGAGATCTTCTCCTCCTCTGCCGTCTTACTCGGGCATCAAGCATTGCGCTTGTGTCTATAAAGACGGACAAGGCTCCACTTCCGGAGAGAGTCCCAGCAGTGATCCGAAATAATCAGATGAACCATGCTTGAGTGCCCAGTCAGTGCGCGAAATTGATGCTTCCCTGACCCGGGGCGTCTCCGCGAGATCTTCGATTGCATGAATCGATGCAAGATATCGTCCGCGTCAACGTCACCGATCATCCATGTCCAGTGCCACCATTGTTTCCGACGGAGCCGCTGACCATGTGGCTTGACTGACTTTATTGCCATTGTTTCCGCACTTAAACCTGATAGAAGGGGATATCCTTCCTCATTCCTCTCTCCTTGTACATAGAACCGACTACGACGAATTTCAACTAAAATCTGCCAAGTGTTGGAAAACAAGAGGTGGCCGACCAGGCTGTCGTCTGTCTGCTTATTTACAAGTGCGACTTTGTGCTGATACACGTCTTCGAGGAGCTGTTGAAGCCAAATTCCAACCTTCTGACGGCCTTTTGTCGACAGTACTCCGATTAGGATGTTATCTTAAAGTCTCGCGGAGATGCAGTTTGCAATACATTCTCTGCGCATCATGCTTTGGATATTGTAATCCTTCCACGTCAGCTGCTCACCAAGCCCAACTCGGTACTGTAGCACAAGAGTCTTGTTTGCATGTAGAAACAAAATAAATATTCCAATTCTAATTTCCATAGATGCTTCTGCTTGGATAAGATCACATAGAGTTCTTACCATCCCGGCGGTACTTCTAGGGCAGCGGCCTTTAGCAGACATCCGATCTCACTTGGGAAGTCCAATTTTATGCCATCGGCCTCTCATCGACATTCTCCAGAGGCCGTGTGGGGCACCCAAAGTGTGAACAAAACGTGCCTCATCTCAGGAACCGACCTCAAGGGGGGTGCCGGGTCTCATGTTCGAACCTTCGTGTTCACTTCGAACCTATGCAATTTCCACAACAAAATGAGCCAGCCGATTGTTTTTGTTGGCCAGGTGAATACTTTGCCAGAACTCGGGCGCAGTTAAGTACTGTTGTTGGCACACCCAATCGCAAGCACACCGCGAAATTGCAGAGTCCTAATCTCGCACTCTGTTCGTCAACAGAACATCTGCCTTTTTCATGCGTCCTGATGAGCACGTGGTGGGTTTCTCACGGAGCAGTAGTTTAACATGCTGAAGATCTGACCAACGGGGCCACTTGAGCTTGACAAAGTGCATACCAGGACTTCTTCAGAGCTGACTTCGCCGAACTCAAACCATCTGACATCAAGGAGGTGGCTCCGTAGAGTAAATCATTGAAATCACAGCGTTGACTGCTTTGATGCCAGGTCGGCACCTACACCGTAAAGGCTGACTCAGGTGAGACTGTGTGTCCCGGAGAGGCCGGAGCCAGAGCCAGTTGCCAGCGATTCAAAACATGTGAAAATTAATCACCAGGTCCCTGAGTATGTGCCCATCAAGCGCGGAAAACGCTTGGAGAAGGAGCCAGCGCAGGGACCCAGAGCTCCCGGAGATCCCTCCATCATTGCCATGCTTCACCCAGATATCTCTGATGTTTATTGTTGTAATGCTCACAGAAAACAGCAAAAGGCAACGTAGACAATGGTGCCTTAGGAAGATTCGGAGGTTGGGTGATTTGCAGCTTAGCCTGGTTGGTGGGGCACCCCACGTGAAACGCAGCTTCGGCTTCAAAGCTCTTGATGAACGGGTGGTCACAGTCGTAAAGAGTCATTGGAAAAGACTGTGCCATTGACGAGCCGCTGTCTTCGTCTAGCTGCACCTTGCAGACCACTAAGGGCTTCAAGAGGCCACCCACAGACGACAAGGGTTACATCCAGTGCGCTTCTCCGACACATCTGCTGCCGTACCCTGATGTTGGGGAGATTCTGATATGTTGTACCTGCCGGTACTTGTAGCTGAAGCCCGTGGGTTCTTCTGCTGAACGTGGTGCAGCAGCCTGTCCTCCCTCGGCGCGCGCAGATTCTTTCTGCAAGGTACGTCGATGAGAAATGTGATCTCTACGAAGCAGCGAAGCAGGCAAAGCCGCCGGGCAGTCTCGCCGATCGACTGATTCGTGGCGAGCGGCGGGCAGGTTTCCTCAAAGCAACAGTTCTCCCTGGACAAAGACATAATTTGTGACCGCTCTTCCCTGGTGCCGGCAACTTAAAGGGATATATGCTTGGTCGTCGCTATTGCAGTGTCTGCAGTTGTCTTTTCCGTCGTCGTCCTCGTCATTCATGGCAACCTCACCCCCTGCATCAGTCGAACCACTACATCGTAAACACATGCTTCTTCGTAGGTGTTGAGGCGCTGGAAGTCGCCCCCTAAAAAAGGGCTGTTGTTGTTGTTGTTGCTGCTGTTCAGCGTTCTGGAGTATGGTTGCAGAAATCCGCTGTTCATTGTCGTCATCGTCGCTGGTGCTGTCTCAGTTGCAGGTGTTCTTGCGGGGGCTGTGGGTCATGAGAAGACTACTGTAAGGCGTCTTTTTTGTGCACTCAGGACTCTTCTGGAGTACGTCAGTGAAAACTTAACGGGCTTCTTGATGCCCAAGGGACAGGCTGTCTTGCCATGTTTGCATCTTCCGGCACTCGTAAGCATGTCCCTCAGCACAGTGAAGACTCAAGACAAATCCAATTTGCATACAAAGCTGAGAGTTGCTGAACGCTTTGCGAGTTAAAAAAATTGATACGCCAGCACAACAACCCGGTCGATCTCGTGAAGATCTCCAAAGCTGCGGATGGCAAGGCCCGTCACGTTTAAAGGAGCATCACCTGCAGGGCACATCTGAGATTTTTGCCCGGCGCTGGACGGCAGGCTCTCGTTATGGAGCATCTGTTGGATGTGAAAAGGATGAAGCGACGAACTCAGTCTTGAAGTTTCAGCCCTTCGTGTGGGGTTCGACTATGACTCTGAGCCGCAGGTGTTTCCCTTACCGGGGTGCATGGAAGCGCTCCGAGGCACCGCCTGAGCACACAGCAGCACGGCAGTTTGCAAAGCGATATCAAGGAGACGATGTGCTCTTGTGAGGTATCCAACCATGGAACTTACACACCTGCCTTCCGACGCTTAGCCTACGGAGACTGCAAGACCAAGTGGGGCACTCAGACTCATCGATTCGACCACCAATTCAGCTCGTGTTACCAGACGCAATTCCGGTGAGACTTTTTGTGTTCGGCACTGTCGCCATGATGCGGTTGATCGCCCGGTGATGTCGATACTTTTTACGTTTTTCCCCGGAAACGTGACACGATGGAGCTTTTCAGTTTTGCGCACGTCCTCGTCGGCTTGTACTGTGGCAATGCTTGTGCACCATGATGTGCAGAAAGCGTTGTAGAATTGAGCACCTTGACACTTTGCACCCTTCACGACATCTGCAACTTGCCAACTTGCCACGATGAGAGCTCCTCCGAACTTCGGATTACGTTCGCCGGAATGAAGAGGGCAGATCGGGTTCCTTACCAGACTGTGCGGAGACGAATAATTCCGTCGGACGGCAGCAGTCTATTTCAGCCGGGGTTGCTTGTGAACCGACAGTTTTGTTTAGTTTAGGCCGTTTCTACTGTCGCTTCGTCGCCAAACATGGGGATGTGTACCCGACCCATGCAATGCCATGAAGGTGCGTTGCGTGCGTGCGTGCGTGCG